ACGACGACTACCACCACTACTATCATTACGATTCTTAATGATATGGATCTGAACATTGCTCGCGCGCCGATCCTTTCTGCTGTCTCTCGTTCGGACGAGGGGGCGGGCGGCCCACGACGCGCGGGGCTCCGCCGCGGGGGCGCCGCGCGCGATAGGGAGGACGGGCCTGCTTTCCACCACCACCACCATGAGCTGGACGAGGAAAGGAGGTGCAGGACGACAAGGAGGAGGACGAAGAGGAGGGGGAGGACGAGGACGAGGACGAGGAGGAGGAGGAGGAGGAGGAGAAGGAGGAGGAGGAGGTGGAGGAGGAGGAGGAGGAGGAGGGGGGGGAGAAGGAGGGGGAAGGAGGAGGAGGAGGAGGAGGAGGAGGTGGAGGAGGAGGAGGAGGAGGAGGAGGGAGGGGGACCCGCTCCCCCTGCAGCTTCTGGTGGTGGCGGTGGAAAACAAGCCCATCAGGGGAGGCGCTGGGCGCTGCGAAGGACCAGCCCGCGCGCGGTCGCGAAGGGGGATGCTCGGGCCCTGGCGCACGCCGGCACCGAGGGGCTCCGGGCCGGGCGCCGTCTGGCCCCGGCGCGCGCGCGAGGGCGCGCCGCGGGAGAAGCAGAAGGAAGAGAGGAGGGCAGGGGGAAGGGGAAGGAAAGGGGGAAGGAGAAGGGAGAAGGGAGGGAAGGGGGAAGGAAGAGGGAAAGGGGGGAGGGAGAAGGAAGAGAGAAGGAAAGGGGGAAGGGGGAGGGGGGGGAAGGGGAGGGGACGGGCAGGGGCCGAGGGCGGGGAGGGGGAGGAGGGCAAGGAAAGGAAGGGGGAAGGGAAGGCGAGGAAGAGAGACCGAGGGAGGGGGTAGGGGGAAAGGGAGGGGGCCCAGACCCCCTCGAGTAATGAAAAAATCATGACGGGAGGTTTTTCCTAATTTTCGGCCCTTGGAGGCCCTCACCGGGCCTCGGGAGCGTCAAAAAACGACTCAGGATGCAACGCCGGTCATGGGGAAAGGGTCGGGACCTCTGGGGATCGACGTAATGAAAAAATCATTACGTCGGGGGTCTGGGAAGGGAGGGGGGGGAGGGCAGGAGGAGAAAAAAGAGCGCACAGGCACAGACTCGTGGCGCTCCGCGCGGGCTTCTCGGATCTGCGCCGCACCCCCCTGCCTCGCTGGCCCCGGGGCGCCGCGGAATGGGGAGTGGCGATCAATCGCGGGGGGGGAGGGGGGAGAGAGGTGCACTGCTCGGGCTCTGAAAGGACCTCTTCGGCACCAGGGGCCCTGAAGGGCCCCTTTCTCTGCAGCCCTTGCGCCGCCCCATGCATCGGCCCCCCCATTACGCGACGCCGATCTGGCGTCGCCAGCTTGCGGGTCCGGGGCCAGCACAGATCGATTGGGCTCGGAAGAAGACGCAGAAGAAAGGAATCCGGGATGCCAGCCGTGACTCTCAGCGATGATGCAATCTTCTGCAACGTCGGATCTCGGGTCTGGAAGCAAACTTTGGGAGGTGGACTTCGCCAGAACGATGACGGGCTATAGAAGGCCAGGCAAAGAGGCCAAGTTGCCGGATCAGGGATTGGGCCGGGCTATAGCCCGGGAGCAAGCCGGGTGCACCGGATATCAAGCGGCACCCATGCCAGAGCAGGCCACGCCACGGACAGACCCGCGCCGATGCCGGAATTCCCCTGCAAGCCCTGCCGATCGCCAAACTGATGGGAAGCCCCCCCTCCCCTCCCCCCCGCTGCAGCCAGCCAGGGAGGGGGGAGGCAGGAAGGCGAGGAGGGAGAAGGGTGGGGGGAGGGGGGGGAGGAGCCCAGACCCCCCACGTCATGATTTTTTCATGACGTCGACCCCCCGAGGTCTCGACCCATTCCCCGGGACCGGTTTTTCGTCCTGAGTCGTTTTTTGACGGTCCCGAGGGCCGGTAAGGGCCCCCAAAGGCCAAAAATAATGAAAAACCTCCCGTCGTGATTTTTTCATAACTCGAGGGGGTCTGGGAGGAGGGGCGGGGGGAGTGCGAAGAGCGGCTGCACCCTCAGCTGGGCAAGGGGGGGCAAAAAGGAGGGGAGGAGGGAGGCGGCAGGCGGGCCGGTGGGCGCGGACGGTGAAAGCCTGCGCGCGCCGACCCTGGCCTCACCCTGGCCTTCCTCCCTGTCCTCCTCTCCTCCATCCCTCTCCTCCTACTTCCTCTTCCTCCTCCTCCTCCTCCTCCTCCTCCTCGTCCTCCTCCTCCTCCTCCTCCTCCTCCTCCCTTCCTTTTTGGAACGGCACGGTCGACGGTCGCGGCGGCACGCGGGGAGGGCTGCCGCCGTGGGAGCCCTGGGGTGCGGCAGGTGCGTGCCGTGGGGGCCGCGGCGTTGGCTGCTGTGTTCGTTTGGGTGTCGTGCTCCCCCCTCGGCCTAGAAAGTGTTTGACTACCTACCAGACCCCCCCAACCCAACCCGAAGACCCAAATTTCGGGTTGGGGGGGGTATGGGTTCCATACGTGTTTTTTCGGTGTTCCCCAACCCCCCCCACCCACTGGAAATGGAAGGCAAATGGAGGCCTTCGGGTTGGGTTGGGGTGGTTTGGTAGGTAGTGAGTGTTTCCGTGCGCTCGTGCTGTCTTCGCTTTTTCCCCTCGTGCCGTCTTCGTTCCGCCCCTGCTGCCAAGCGAGAGCAGAACGAGAACGGCCCACGAGATCGCTGAAGAACCGTTGAAGTCGAGCCCCTTGACACCGCGCGAGTCATCCCACCCTGGTCGGTCGGCGGCCTTTCGCCCGCCCGATCACCGCAGACTGGCCGATGCTCCTCGATGGTCCCCCGCCGAGCAAAAAAAAAAAAAAGAAGAACGCACACGTCCCAGCGACGCCGAGGAGAAGTGCGGCGGACTCGAGCCGTGACGGCCGCGGCGCTGGCTTCGGACACCGCGGGGGCGACTTCCCCCTCCCACGGTCGGCGGCCTTCCGGACCGACCGCTCGTCCCCCAGACGTGCCGATCACGAGCCGCTGGAGGCGCTCAGCCCCCATCGCCGCCGCGGCGGGGCTCGCCGCCGCAGCGCGAGCACGGCGCGAGCCTCGACGTCGAACACGCCGCGGGCCGCCTCGCCTCGCGCGCCGCGCCAGGCGGGAGCAACGGCGCGGCTGGCCTCGCGCAGCGGTCGGGCAGCCGCACGCGGGGCCCGGGCCCGGGACGCCAGGGCCCTGCAGCGCCAGCGGGGGCTGAGAGTGAGGAGGAGACGCCTGCGGCCAAGCAGGCCTCGACGAGCGAACGCACGACGATCGACCCCCCGCCCGCCGCACGAAGAACTTCCAGACCAGTTCGACCGTCAAGCGACGCGTGAACTGCAGGCGGAAACTGCTCCACGGTCAGCCCACGACAGCGCCGCGCGACTCCATGCGCACGGCGCGCTGCTGCTGTGCTCGTCGGCGCTTGAACTTGGCGCTGCCTGGTGCTCATCGGGCAGCCTCGTCGAGGTTGCCCGATGCTCTGGCACCCGTCAGACCCCGCAGGAGCACGGGCTCGCAGGCGGCCGCGGACTGCGCCGCAGTCCCCCTTATCGAGACGGGCAGACCTGCGGCCCGGGCCGCGACGGGCGAAGCGCGGGCACGTTCGCGCCCCCGCGGGTGATCTAGCACACGGCCAGGAGCCCCTGCGCTGCCACGATAACCAAGGCCGCGCCAACGGCGTGCTTGGTTGACGGTGCGGTTGAGAGTTTATTTGTTGTTGTTGTTTTTTTGTGACACCGAGCTCACGCAGAAGAAACTGTAAAAAATCACGCAGCACCGCTTCCTACATGTCAAAATGTTCGAGCGAATCGAACGAAAACGGCACAGCGAGTTGTAGGAAAACACGAACCACGCGTTCCTACAATTGGACTGGCCACGAACCACGCCTTCCTGCACGTGGTCTTCCTACTTCACCGTTAGCTATCACACCGTTAGCGCGTCTACGGGAGAAGCCTAAAGGCACAGTGTCCGTCGCCAGGACAGGGAAACTCCGCACCGTCCCCAGGCGGGGCCACCGCGGGACGCCCGCGAGCAGCACAGGGCGCATGGTGGTTTTATTCGCGGCCATAACGGGCGTTATGGGGGGGAAGGGGGGTGGGGGGGGGAAGGGGGCCGTAGGCGACCCGGGAGGAGGAGGAGGAGGCGGAGGAGGAGAGGAGGAGGGGGAGGAGGAGGAGGAGAAGGAGGAGGAGAGGCGGCGGCGGCAGCGGCGGCGGCGGAGGGAGGAGGAGGAGGGAGGAGGAGGAGGAGGAGGAGGAGGAGGGTGAAGGAGGAGAAGGAGGAGAGGAGGAGGAGGAGGAGGAGAGAAGGAGGAGGAGGAGCAAGAGGAGGAGGAGGAGGAGGAGGAGGAGGAGGAGGAGGAGGAGGAGGAGGGGAGGAGGAGGAGGAGGAGGAGGGGGAGGGGGAGGGAGGAGGAGGAGAAGGGGGCGGAGGAGGAGGAGGAGGAGGAGGAGAGGAGAGGAGGAGCAAGAGGAGAAGGAGGAGGAGGGGAGGAGGAGGAGGAGGAGGAGGGAGGAGGCGGAGGAGGAGGCGGAGGAGGAGGAGGATGGAGGAGGAGGAGGAGGAGGAGGAGGCGGCGCTTGCGGCGGCGGCGGCGGCGGCGGCGGCGGCGGCGGCGGAGGAGGAGGAGGAGGAGGAGGAGGAGGAGGAGGAGGAGGAGGAGGAGGAGGGAGGAGGAGGAGAAGGAGGAGGAGGAGGAGGAGGACAGGTCGCCTCAGCCCTTCGGAGCCCTCCACGTAGCCCCCCGCCTCCAGACTGTGGTGCCAGACGCACTGCGGCAGTGCCAGGGACGAAATGAAGAGGGAGCGTTGCGTTTTTTGAGGGGATGGAGGGGGAGGGCAGGGGGCGTAACGCGCGCTATGGCCCAGAGGGTAAGAACAACCGACAAAAAAACACTCCTTGCTCCTGGGGGAAGCCGAAGGTGTACCGATACAGCTGCTCGCAGGACCTCTCCCGAAGTGCGCTCCGACCAAGACTTCGAAACGGATCCAGCCATGGCGGCGAGCGACGAGGGCCTCCCAGGAGGCCCCCAGAATGCGAAAGCGAGGCAGGGGGGGGAGCGCGGTGGCAGCCTCTGTTCCTCCTCCGAGCTGGCTGGCGCGCCTGCCGCAGGCACACACCGTCCGCCCCCTCCGGGGAGCACGAGGAGCAGCAGCAGGCCACGAGCCCTCACTTCCTCGTCCACCTTCTGGCCTCGGATGGGGCGCACGGGGAGAGGGGGGGACGAAGGGGGGCGGAGGGGAGGCGTGGCCGCTTCGAGGAGGCAGAGGGGAGGCGTCCCAGAATCGGGGGGCCACAGCAAACACGTACGATCAAGGCACGTTACCTTACGAGCCCTCGGTGGCACCAGCCTTGCAGACGTGCTGCAGCGGATTCCTGCGCGGAGTTCTGCGTGGATGTGTGCCCGAATCGGCGAGGGAAAGACGAAGTGAGTTTCGCGTGGATTTCTTCCGACACCATTCCTGGCCAAGAGAAGCCCGCACGAAATTCACTTCGAAATCCGGAGCGAAATTCTCCGGGACACTCCGGGCCCACCCTATCGTTTTCTGAGCGAAATCCGCTCTGCGATGTCGGCGCCATGAGAATCCAGGGGCGCATACTCCGACGATCTCTCAAGCTTCGCAAGAGGTGCAACCAAAGTCCCGCTGGAAGCGCACGAGGCAAAATCCGGGAAGGAGAAGCGTCTGCGGGTCATCTGCTGGCAGGCGTGCTTCTTATTTGAAGGGGCCCCAGGACACACAAATAAATAGACACAAATTCCAGGATTCACCATATTTTCCCATATTTCTAAGTATTCGTCTTCCCCCCACTTCCCATATTCTCCCATAGTCTCCTGGGGGTCGACGATTAATCGTGTCTGTGTGTGTGTTTTCCCCTCCTGAATTTGTGTAGAAGAGAAAAAACGACATAAGCATAAATTTCTGGCGCTCCGCGCGGATGTCCTGGATCTGCGTCGGAAGACCCCTCCCCGGCGCGCGCAGCGCGCCAGAGGCGGCGCCTGGGGCGCCGCCGGGGGTGCCCAGCGCAGATCCAAGAGATCCGCGCCGAGCGCCAATGTTTGTGACGTTTTCTTTTCTTCGATGATTCGCTGTGCCCGCTGTGGAGCGAGTCCCCCTCGGGCAGGGCACCCTGCGGTGCCAACGGCACGGGGGCCAGGAGGGGCGGCAGCGCCGCCCCCTCGGGAAAAGGGCCACAGAACAGGACCCCACGGGCGGCTGATCGCCCATCGACCTGGCAGGGTGCCGCTCCCACCAATCCCCGACGAGAAGGCCTCGCCCAAGCCCTGCCCAGCCAAATGCCTTCCCAGAAGCCCCCAGGCCCCTTGCAAGACGCACCCTCCGTACCTCATCTTCTGTCGCATGGCGGGCCCCCGCAAGTCCCAGAAACACTGAAGGGGCCCACAAACATACAATAAATACACAAATAACCGGATTCCCTATATTTTTCCCTATTATCTGGGTTTTTGTCTTCACCCCCACTTCCCATATGTTCCCATGTTTCCCTGATAACTGTGTCTGTGTGTTTCTTTCCCTCCTGAAACACACGCGGACCGCTTCCTCATCCTGATCGATGTTTGTCGGCGGCCCGTGGGCCCAGCAAGGCCCCGGGGAAGCCGCACATGGAGAGAAGAAAGAAAGCCTTCCGCCGTGACGCTTGTCACGGCGAAGAGTGAAGGGGCCCTGGGGCACACAAATAGACGCACACAAATAAAAGGGTTCCCAATATTTTCCCATATGTTCTTGCTTTTTGTCTTCCCCCCCACTTCCCATATTTTTCAATATGCTCCTGGGGATCGACGATTCATTGTGTCTGTGCTTTTTTCTCCTCCTGAAAGAGATCTGGTCAGGACCAGTCCGCATCGCATGGGGGAAACGGATGAAATCGAAACGTGCGTCGGATCGGGCGGCATCGTCACGGAATCGGCATCGAATCGGATCGGCTGCGCCAGGATACGCAACGGCGACGTTGCACGCATCGGGCCGACTGGGACCGCCCAAAGATCGGAATCGAATCGCACCGAGCCAGGAGAGATTGGTATCGAACTGGGTCGATCCAATACAGGGTCAAGACTCTGTTTCTGGGCTACTCGTGGGGTGCGTCCTGACAGAATTTCGAGGCGGACCCGGCCGTTTGGACGAGGAACCCCCTGGAGGCGCAAATCGACAGAAAAACGTGTAACTAACTCGCACCTCGGAGTGCGGAATGGACCCTGACCTCGGCCTTCAGGGCAGAACTAGAAGCCTCCTAGATGGGGTCCGAGCAGATGAGCTCGGAGAACGTCGCCTCGTCGATGCATCGGCGATGCGGCACGATCCTCCCACCCCATCTACTCTTAGGTCGGGCATGTCCTCCTACAGGCGGCTTTTGAAAGAAAATGTATACAAGTAGCCCGAACAACAGAACTAGTCAAAAGAGTACGAACCATCGCCATCAGACTATTTTTGTTACTATTCTTGAATCGTCCTCCTGTAGAGGAACATGCCCGACTTAAACCTACTGCGACCGCATGTGGAAGGCCTAGAACACAGTCGGAGTTTATTGGAGAGGACACGCGAGATGACACTGGACCCTTCCGAGGGCCACATTGCCATAGGAGTGTAAGAAGGCATGGGTCGCGAAGCTCAGGACACGAGGGTACCCTCGATTTGGCAGACTCGACCTACTATAATCAGCCTCGACCGTACCTCGGGTTTCCGGCGGCCGTTCGGAACGCGCCGGGCACCCCCCGGAAGACGCCGCCGTTAGGTCGGGCATGCCCTCCTACAGGCGGATATTGGGCGAAGAATGCAAATAGTCAAAAATTATCGAAACTGGTCGAAGATAGTCGAAAAATCGTCCCCTGACTATTTTTTGGCTGTTTTCGAATACTCCTCCTGTAGAGGGACACGCCCGACTTGACGCTGCCGGCGAGGCGCCGCTGTGCCCGACCCCGCGCCTCGAGGCCGGAAGGCCGCCGAAGCGGGGGGGCGGGAGCGCCCGGAGCCCTCGGCCCCTGAGCCTCGACAGAGGCCTCCTGGGATGGGGGCCTGCCAGACTTAGCTGCCCCGATACGCAACACGCGACACGTAGCGTATTGATACGGAGCTCAACGCGTGGACTGAAAACGTGGGTCCTTCGCGAGACGTTCGCCAAAACGTGGGCCTATACGTGGAGCCAACACGCAACGTATTGACACGGACGTCTTGAACACGGCACGTGTTGCGTATCAAAACGGGCGTGTCGAGGCAGCTAAGCTGCTAGACAGGCGCTCGATTCGCCTCATAAGCGCCCTGGGCGTATTCGTTAGCGTTTTCTGCTGTGGGCTCCTGACAGGCAGAGAGTGCTAAAACAAGGCTGCATACGTTGTGTTGGAGATTTTGGGGCAGCTGTGTTGGCGTTGCTTCGATGTCTGTTTGGCGCGTTCAGGCTGAAAGCGCTGAAGCCATGTCTGAAAACGCGAAAGCAACGCATCATTTGTTTTGCGTTGTTGTTTCTAGTTGAGACCTGAAAACGCTTGAAACAATGCTTTCCAAGAAGCCGAGCTGAAAACACCAAAGAAACGCCATGGGCATACATAAGGCAAACCAGGGGTCGAAGGATCGCGCCGACGTCGCCAATGCATCGTCGACGATGCGTCGCCGATACCTCGCCAATGTATCGGCCGCCGAGAACGGACGGGAGCGCCCGAAACCTTCGGCCCTCGAACCTCGGTAGAGGCCTCCTAGATGCAGGTCGTGCATAGTTGGAAACTCGTCCCAAGACTGGCTGTCCCCAGACTATTTCTCGACCGTTCTTGAATATTCCTCCGGTACGAGGGGCACGCCCGATTTAATCCGACGTGGGATGCGAGTAGATGGGGTCGAAGGATCGCGCCGCATCGCCAATGCATCGCCGATGCGTCGCCGATACATCGGCGATGTATCGGCGATGCATCGGCGACGCGTCGGCGATGCGTCCGCGACGTGGCTCCACACCGAGCTGCATCGCCGACGCATGGGCGATGCGGCGCGATCCTCCGACCCCCATCCACTCGGACCCCCTCTGGGGAACCTAACTAGAGCTAGGTCGGGCATGATTTGGGGAGAAAAATTCAAAGATTCGAACCATACCCACTTGTTTTGAGAAATGGTAAAACAAATCGTCCCTAAACTATTTTTTAACTATTTTTGAATACTCCTCCTGTAGAGGACACGCCCGACTTAACACAAGAGAACCTCGGCCTTGCCTGGGTCGCCCAGGCCTTGGATGCTCCTTCTGGGACCTTCCTGGAGACACTCGCTCCACTCATGCGTCGAAGCTGCGTCAAAGTCCGTCGATTTGAGTCGACCTCGCGCCGACCCTGAGTCGAACCTGAATTGAACTGGCCTTTGGCGCTCCGCGCGGATTTCTTGGATTCGCGCCGGAACCCCCTCCCTTGCGCGCCAGGGGCGGCGCCGGAGGCGCCGCCAGGGGGGCCCAGGCGCGGATCCAAGAAGTCCGCGCGGAGCGCCAAAACTTGCTGTTCGCGTGGTTACTTCTTCTTCTTCTTCTTCTTCTTCTTCTTCGAGGCCCTGCCTGGGTCGCCCGCGCCGAGGTGCCCTCCCCAAAATGCGGCCGGTGCCGCCCCGCTCGGCGGCGGAGACCTGCGACTTCCAGATGGGAACGGGACCCGCCGCGGATCCGCGCCCCCCTCGAGCCATGCGTCTGCCATCGCTGGGGTCGCCCGCGCCCCTTGCGCGCGCCGCCGGGCCTTCTTGATCGCGGTGTCGTCCACGAGCTCGTCCTCGGCCGGCCGCTTGCCGGCCGCGGCGTCTGGCGCCAGGGCCTTGGGCGCGCCCGCGGGGCCCGCCGCCGCCGCGCCCACGCAGTTCGCCGACGCCAGCATGACGCTGTCCTCGGAGGCTGCCAGGCCCACATTTCGGTCGGGCGTGTCCCCCTGCAGGGGGATTGTGGACGAAGGAAAATAAAAGCGGTCCAAAGATGCTCCGAGATGGGTCACAACTGGTGCAAGAAAGTCGTCCCTGTACGACTTTCGGACTGTTTTTGAATATCCTCCTGTAGAGGGACAGGCCCGACTTAAGCCCACATCTCCAACGATCTGCTGCGCTTCCGTCCAGGCGTCAAAACGGCATAGACAGAACCTGTCGGAAGTCTGCGCGGACTTCTGGGATCGGCGCTGGGCCAACCTGACGACACCTCCGGCGCCGCCCCTGGCGCGCTCCGAGCGCCAGGGAGGGGGGTCCAGCGCCGATCCAAGATACCCGCGCGGACCTTCGAAAGCTTCTGTGCATGACTTGTTTTTTGTTATTCGATGCTCTGCAGATTTAGGACCCTGGGCCCAATTTTGAGCCCCGGGGCCATCGAAAACGGATCCAGGATCCTCCTCCTCCTCCTCCTCCTCCTCCTCCTCCTCCTCCTCCTCCTCCTCCTCCTCCTCCTCCTCCTCCTCCTCTTCCCGCCTCTTCCCTCCACCCTCCTCTTCCCTCCTCCTCCTCCTCCTCCTCCTCCTCCTCCTCCTCCTCCTCCTCCTCCTCCTCCTCCTCCTCCTCCTCATCCTACTCATCCTACTCCTCCTCCTCGAGAAGCTGGCCCCGGGGAGGAGGGAGGAGGGAGGAGGAGGGAGGAGGAGGGAGGAGGGAGGAGGGAGGAGGGAGCTCTGGAGGCCACCCGGGCCACCCTGGCGGGGAAAGCTGGGGCCACCCCCGGCCAGCGACACGCACTTCTGGCCACGCCCGGTGTCCGGAGGCGGCACCACCCTGGCGGTCTTGGACGCCTCCTTCAGCTCGTCCTGCACGGCCTTGTTGCGGTCGACCCCCTCCGCCACGGCCGGCTTGATCGGCATCTTGGACGGGTCTGGCAGGTCCTCGACGTGCGCGGCCCAGATCAAGAACGCCTCCGCGAGCGCCAGCGCGCGGTCCGCGTCGCCGGCGGTGTACTTCAGGCCTGGGATGCCGTCCCGCGAGTCTCGCGGGTAGCGCGCGCCCAGGTAGCTCGCCTTCAGCCACATGATGTCGGCGTCGGTGCCGGGCACCTAAGGTATCGTCTAGACGATCCCCACAGGCCCCACTGGCATGGCATTGGCCCTCCTGGGACCCCCCAAGGTGGTCATGTACGCTGAACCCCTCGGGCTTCGCGGGACCTGCCCACACCTGGGGGAGTGGCCTGGCTGGTTTCCCTTTCGGTCTGGGTCAGGGGCTGCGGCCCGCAGGCCTCAGGTGGGATGCGCAGAGACATACTAGCACTCTAGTACGATATGTCCTCCATGGAGGCGCGCGTCCGACCCGAACATATGGTATACCCATCTTGTAGTATCTCGTTTCCCGAGCGGTGTGGCAAGAAAGCGCCCGCCACGACGCACATACTGTAACAAGTTTCTCGGTGGGCGCACCCTACAGGCGGAGTATGGGCGAAAAATGAAAGGTACTAAAAAAAATACCCCCAGATAGCTAGAACAGAATCAACAAATCGTCCCCGGATGATTCTTCGACTATTTCCGAAGAGTCCTCCTGTAGAGGGACAGGCCCGACGTAAGGCTGGGCATCGGCCAGGCCGTGCGGGGCACCAGCTGCGCGCGCCGCTGCTCCTCGGTGTTGACCGCGGTCGCGACCAGCCGGCGGATGAAGCACTCGACGTCGTGCGCGGCGCCTCCGGTGACCTCGTCCTCGGCGACGCCGCACGTGCGAAGCATGGCGGACTTCACCTGGCAGGAGATAGGCGCGGCGCGCCCCCGGGGGGGAAGGTGCGACGGGGCGGGCCTTCTGAGGAGGCTCGGGGGTTCCCGGGCCTTCTGAGGAGTTGCCTCCAAGCCTTCCCCGAAGACACAGGCAAGCACTCGGGAGGCGCGAGGGGTTCTGAGAGGTCCCGCCGCCTCCCGAGAAGGCCTTCTCCTTCTCACTTCCCCCCCCCCCAGACGCAGCGCCGAAGTTGGTCTGCGGGTCATAACTCGGTTCCCTGGCGGCCAAGCGGGACGATCCCCAGGCAACCACGGAACGCCCTCGGCGAGGCGCAGCTGTTGGCAAGCATCCCGAGGCTGGAAAACGCCTAGAACCAACGAAACCGTCCAAAACCTCGAACCTCGAACCTCGAACCCGAAAGTTTCCCCTTCCCTCGCTCGCCGCCGATATCTAAGGGCCCCCTGTCCCATCCCTTGGGGGCGGCCAAGGGGGGGGGGGCGATGACTACGGGAGGGGGGGGGGAGACAATCCTAAAATGGCACAACCCCTCTTCTGCTTCGAGCGCTCCCCACCCGAGAGCGCGAGGGGCGGGGAGGCAAGGGCCGGGAGATCACCCCCGGGGAGTGCGCCGCAGCACACTCCGGGCCTGGCGGTCGCGAGGTCTGCCAGGGTCTGCGAGGCGGGCGGGGAGCCACTCCCCATGGAGCTAAGATAGGGGAACAAGCAATGGCATAAGCATAAAAACTCGGAGGTCCGTGCAGGTTCCTCGGACCAGCGCTGGGGCCCCCTGGCGGCGTCTCCGGCGCCGCCCCTGGCGCGCTCCGATCTGAGAAATCCGATCTGAGAAATCCGCGCGGACCTCCGAGTTGTTATATCTGTGTCACCCCGATTGGATCGAAGAACCCCAATCTGTCGGGCGGGGAATGAAACTTTGAGCGCACTTCTTCTTCGCGGCCATAACGGGCGTTATGGGGGGGGGAGGTGTGGGGGGGGAGACAGGGGAAGGGGGGGCATAACGTAGCGCCCCTCCCCCACCGAGACTGTGGTGCCGGACGCATTGCGGCAGTGGTGCCCTGGACGCGCTGAGGGGGGGAGCGTTACTTTATGGGGGGGTGGTAGGGGGGGGGGAGTGGAGGGGGCATAACGCGCGTTATGGCCCAGAGGAGAACCCCAACCTGTCGGATGTGGAATGCAACTTCCGGAGGCTCGCGCGGATTTCTCGGATCGGCGCTGGAGGCGCCGCCAGGGGGACCCAACGCCGATCCAGCAAGTCCGCGCGGACCCTCGAAAGTCTGAGTCTGTGCCGTTGCTTGCTGGTGCTATTCCTCTCAGGTGACCGCCATCTCGACCACCTGCTGGCTGTGCCACACCCCGGCGGAGGGCAGGCTCCGCAGGTCGCCCGCGGGGCAGACCATCCTCTTCGCGGCCACGAACTCCAGGCGTGCCTGCTGGAGCCACTTGGGGGCCTGTGTGCGGTCGATGATGCGGTTGCCGAACATCTTACCATCGGTCCTCTCGTACTCCTGCCAGTGCGAGGTGTCGCCTACCAGCTGTACCCTGGGGGCGATGACTTCTGGCCCGGCCTTCGTCTTGGCTTTGGCGGTCTTTGCCAGCGCCGATTGCTCCATTTCGCGCTGGAACTCGTCGAACCACGATCCCATGGAGCCCTCCTGCTTCTCGTACTGCCGCCCTGGCAATGGCAAGATCGGGCCTTTCCCCTTGTCCTCGCTGGTCTCCTCCTCCTTGTCCAGCCAGGTGTCGTCCCCGACGTTCTCCCCGGCCTGCTTCCTCTTGAACCAGTTCTCGTGCCGCCGCAGCAGGAGGAACACCTTGTTGGCAACTGGCGTGTCTCCCACCTTGTCCGGGTGCCAGGTCTTGAAAAGCCTCCTCATGACCAGCTTGTAGTCCTCGGGGGGCATCCTGCTCATTTCGCGGAGGTAAGCCTTCACCTCGATGATGTGTTTCGCGTCATCCGTGTTCTTGTCGCCTGTTTCTGTCATGTCGCGGACCTTGCCGTCCACGGCTACCAGGTCGGTGGACATCGCCACCGCGCCGCCAGCGCTGCCGCTGCTACCCGCGCCGCCCCCCTTGGGCTTGCTGTTGGGCTGGATCTTGTAGACCTCGAAATGCTTCCTCGTCTCGAAGCCGTCCGCGGACACCCGCACCAGGTATGACCGGTTCAGGCCCACGCCCTGCTTGGAGCCTTCGGGCCACCTCGCCACCTCGCCGATGACGAACTTGTCCCCCACCAGGATTGTCACATTCTCGCCTGCGCCACCAAAAACCCATACACAGACACCAGCCAGAGAGCTTCTCACGCACATTCAGCGAGGGCGGCAGTGCATTCGCCGGCTCAACGGGCCAAAGGATCTCCGGCAATAGGTTCGAAGTTTTGGTCCATTCCTAGTTCGCGCGCGCGGGGCGGCCCCTGGGGGTCCCCACAGGGAAAGTACTTCCAGACACTCTGTTCAGATATAATTTTCGTCTAATGCGCCGTCCTGTGGCACTACAAGCTGGTTCCAAATGAGTGGCAGGCTCAAAACGACCAAGAAGGGTGGAAGACGGCTTCAGACGGCCTCAAGACGGACCCAGGTGGACCCCAGCCGGCCCTAGAAGCGCCCAAGAGGAGCCCAAGTGGCCCCAAGAGACAAAACTTAGCGATTTTCTATTGGCATTTCCTTTTGGGGGAGAAGAATTCTCGTCTTTTCGCGCTGCCGACAGCCCGAGACGGCTCAAGAGGCCTCCAAGGTCCCCCCAAGGCAGTCCCAGAGGCTCCGAAGATGGCCCCCTGGACTGCCCAAGAGGGCCCCAAGACGGACCAGGAGGCTCCCTGAGAAGCTTCAAGAGGCCCCTGTTTGTTTCTGATTGGAACCTGATCCCTTCGTCTGCGATGTTGGCGCTCACATATGAGAACATATCAGGTCATTGGCTGGCCCCCAGCTTCAGGAATGTCACAGATGCGAGGCGCGGGCGACGCAAGTTGGATAGTTTGTCATGTGTGTCCATCGTTCGGGCCCCCCAGGAGAGCTCAAGAGGGCCAACAGCGCCCAAAAAGACAGCCCCAAGAGACCCCCAAACGGCCTCGAGGGCATTCCAAAGAGGCCCCAAGAGGCTCCAGGAACCTACAAAAATTACTCCAAAGGCCTCCCGACAGGCTCCAAGAAGCCTCCCAAACAGGCAGGCGGAATGAGTAAAGTAGTCCATTGATCTGTACGCTACCACCCTCCCCTGAGGTCTGCAGAGAAGCAAATAACTGCATACACACAAACGTTCGGAGGTCAACGGGATGTTTTGTTCATCGGCGCGCGCGTCATCCCAGGGGCGGCGCCAGAACTGCCGCCCGGGGGGTCGAGCGCGGACCCAGAAAATCCATGTACGTGGCAACTTTTGCCATTCGGGCCCAAGAGCGGTCCACTTGCGAATGCTTGTGAAGAGGAAGCAGAATGGTGAATATATTCATCTATATACATATATACATACATACATACATACATACATACATACATACATACATACATACATACATACATACATACATGCATGCATGCATGCATGCATGCATGCATGCATGCACACACACATACATACACACATACACACATACATACATACATACATACATACATACATACATACATACATACATACATACATACGTACATACATACATACATACAAACGTACATACATACATACATACATACATACATACATGCATGCATGCATAGATACAGACAGACAGACAGACAGACAGACAGACAGACAGACAGACAGACAGACAGACATGCATGCATACATACATACATACACCACATTCCACTACATTACATTAACCTACACTACATTACATCACATGGCACTACACTGCATTAAATGGCATTACAATACATTGCAACACAATACCTGACATTCCATTATATTACATTATATCACATTACATTGCATTACATTACCTTACGTTACGTTACATTACATTAACATTACATTACATCACATCACATCACATCACATTACATACATACATACATGAGAGAGAAAGAGAGTGAGAGAGAGAGAGCGCGTGTTCTCCCGCTGCTGGCGGAAAACCAGGGGGGGTCACTGGGGGTTCCCAATCCGCCCCCCCCTCCCCTCCCCTCGAAAACCGGGAAAGAGATCACTACGGGTTCGAACCCCTCCCCCCCCGCAGTACATCATGAAAAGGGGGGGGGTCACTACCGGTTCGAACCCCCCCCCTCGAAAACCGGGGGGGTCACTACCGGTTCAAACCCCCCTTCGCCGCCAGCAAACGATTCCCGCTCCTCGGGACAGTTGGACAATGGTGGGAACGGTGGTGGTGGGGACAGTGGTGCGGGGACAATGGGATCGTGGTGCGGACAGTGGTGGGGACGGTGGTGGTGGGGACAGTGGTGAGGGGACAGCGGGACAGGGGTGGGGACAGTGGGACAGGGGTGGGGACGGTAGTGGTGGGGACAGTGGTGAAAGCGGTGGTGAGAACAGTGGTGGGACAGTAGTACAGTGGGGAGAGTGGTGGGGACAGTGGGGACTGTGGGACAGCACAGTGGGACAGCGGCGGGGACAGCGGGACGGTGGCGGGTACAGTGGGGACAGTGGGACAGTGGTGGGGACCATGGGGAAAGTGGGGAGAGTGGGACCGTGGTGGGACAATGGTGGGGAGAGTGAGGACAGTGAGACACCAGTGGGGGTACTGGTGGGGACAGCGGGGACAATGGTGGGAACAGTGGGGACAGTGGGACAGTGGTGGGGACTGTGGAACATTGGTGGGGACGGTGGTGGTTGGGACGGTGGTGGTGGGGACAGTGGTGTGGGGACAGTGGGAATGTGGTGGGGACAGTGGGAAAACACACCCCAAGAGGTGCACGATTAAAGACGAGAAGGGCGGGTATCGAGGGTTCGGGACATACATGTAGAATGACACGCGAGCAGAGAAGGACGAAGATTCTCAAATGATTGCTGTTGTCGTCGTCTCCCCCGCGGCCAACCCGCGACCCACCCCGGGACCCACCCCGCGACCCACCCCGCGATCCACCCGCGACCCAACCGCGACCTACCCACGACCCACCCACGACTTGGCGGCGGGCGAGGGGGGGAAGTGAGAAGGAGAAGGCCAACTCAGAAGGCGGCGGGGCTTCTCAGAAGAAGCCCAGCGGCCTTCTGAGAAAGTTTCTGCATCCTGGGGGAAGGCTTACACAACTTCTTAGCGAAGGCTGGGGACTTCCGAGCCTTCTGAGACAACCTTCTCCTTCTCAATTCCCCCCCTCGCTCGCCGCCGAACGACCCACCCCGCGCCCGCCCTCTCACTCTTATCCGCTATTGCGGAGTGCTGCGTCGAGACTGAACTCTTGACGCCGGCGCTGTTCGCAAAGGTGATGTCGGGGAAGACGAGCCCCATACGGGGCCCCGTGGGGCCCCAAATCGGGCCAAAATCGGCGCGTTCCCCCAAAACGCCGACCACGGAATCCGTCTTCTGGTTCCCGTCGGCCGAATTTCCGCCCTATGCCCGTACACATATACGTATATAGATATGTGAGTTTATATACGTACACATGGCCGATTCCGGCAACCCTGAACCCAAAAATGTGTTCATCTCTTGGGGGCGAATCTTTTACTTCCGCCGCCATCCGCCGGCCTTCCGGCGGCTTCCGCCGGCGGAGGCGGTCTCGTTCTACTTTCGCCGCCTTCCGCCACCATACCGCCGCCACCATACCGGAAGATATGAAAACTCCTTCAATCCTCGAAGGCGAGGCCATCCTAAGAACGCCCCAAAATTATGTATATGTATATGTCTATGTCTATGTCTATGTCTATGTCTATGTCTATGTCTATGTCTATGTCTATGCCTATGTCTATGTCTATGTCTATGTCTATGTCAATATCTATGTCTATGTCTATGTCTATGTCTATGTCTATGGCTATGTCTGTGTCTATGTCTATGTCTATGTCTATGTCTATGTCTATGTCTATGTCTATGTCTATGTCTATGTCTATGTCTATGTCTATGTCTATGTCTATGTCTATGTCAATGTAGATGTAGATGTAGATGTAGATGTAGATGTAGATGTAGATGTAGATGTAGATGTAGATGTAGATGTAGATGTAGATGTAGATGTAGATGTAGATGTAGATGTAGATGTAGATGTAGATGTAGATGTAGATGTAGATGTAGATGTAGATGTAGATGTAGATGTAGATGTAGATGTAGATGTAGATGTAGATGTAGATGTAGATGTAGATGTAGATGTAGATGTAGATGTAGATGTAGATGTAGATGTAGATGTAGATGTAGATGTAGATGTAGATGTAGATGTAGATGTAGATGTAGATGCAGATGTGCAGATGATGTAGATGTAGATGTAGATGTAGATGTAGATGTAGATGTAGATGTAGATGTATATATAGATGTAGATGTAGATGTAGATGTAGATGTAGATGTAGATGTAGATGTAGATGTAGATGTAGATGTAGCCGTAGCCGTAGCCGTAGCTGTAGCCGTAGCTGTAGATGTAGATGTAGATGTAGATGTAGATGTAGATGTAGATGTAGATGTAGATGTAGATGTAGATGTAGATGTAGATGTAGATGTAGATGTAGATGTAGATGTAGATGTAGATGTACATGTAGATGTAGATGTAGATGTAGATGTAGATGTAGATGTAGATGTAGATGTAGATGTAGATGTAGATGTAGATGTAGATGTAGATGTAGATGTAGATGTAGATGTAGATGTAGATGTAGATGTAGATGTAGATGTAGATGTAGATGTCTACGTAGACGTAGATGTAGATGTAGATGTAGATGTAGATGTCGATGTAGACGTAAATGTATATGTAGAAGTAGACGTAGATGTAGATGTAGATGTAGATGTAGATGTAGATGTAGACGTAGATGTGCATGTAGATGTACACGTAGATGTACAAGATGTAGATGTAGATGCAGATGTGGATGTGGATGTAGATGTAGATGTAGATGTGCATGTAGATGTACACGTAGATGTAGAAGATGTAGATGTAGATGTAGATGTAGATGTAGATGTAGATGTAGATGTAGATGTAGATGTAGATGTAGATGTAGATGTAGATGTAGATGTAGATGTAGATGTAGATGTAGATGTAGATGTAGATGAAGATGCAGATGTAGATGCAGATGTAGATGTAGATGTAGATGTAGATGTAGATGTAGATGTAGATGTAGATGTAGATGTAGATGTAGATGTAGATGTAGATGTAGATGTAGATGTAGATGTAGATGTAGATGTAGATGTAGATGTAGATGTAGATGTAGATTTAGATGTAGATGTAGATGTAGATGTAGATGTAGATGTAGATGTAGATGTAGATGTAGTTGTAGCTGTAGATGTAGATGTAGATGTAGATGTAGATGTAGATGTAGATGTAAATAGATGTAGATGTAGATATAGCTGTAGCTGTAGCTGTAGCTGAAGCTGTAGATGTAGCTGTAGCTGTAGCTGTAGCTGTAGCTGTAGCTGTAGCTGTAGCTGTAGCTGTAGCTGTAGCTGCAGCTGTAGCTGTAGCTGTAGCTGTTGACCTAGATGTAGATGTAGATGTAGATGTAGATGTAGATGTAGATGTAGATGTAGATGTAGATGTAGATGTAGATGTAGATGTAGATGTAGATGTAGATGTAGATGTAGGTGTAGATGTTTATGTATATGTAGATATATATGTATATGTAGCTGCATATGCACATGCACATGCAGATGCAGATGCATATGTAGATGTAGATGTAAGTGTCGCTGTAAATGTGGATGTATGCGTATATGTATATGTAGATGTAAATGTATATGTAGATGTAGATGTGGATGTAGATGTAGATGTAGATGTATAGTTAGATGTAGATGTTGATGTAGATGTAGATGTAGATGTATACGTAGATGTAGATGTAGATGTAGATGTATATGTAGATGTATATGTAGATGTAGATGTACATGTAGATGTTGATGTAGATGTAGGTAGATGTAGATGTAGATGTAGATGTAGATGTAGATGTAGATGTAGATGTATATGTAGATGTAGGTGTAGGTGTAGATGTAGATGTCAATGTAGATGTAGATGTAGATGTAGATGTAGATGTTGATGTTGATGTAGATGTAGATGTAGATGTAGATGTAGATGTATATGTAGATGTAGGTGTAGGTGTAGATGGATATGTAGATGTAGATGTAAATGTAGATGTGGATGTAGATGTAGATGTAGATGTAGATGTAGATGTAGATGTAGATGTAGATGTAGATGTGGTTGTAGATTTAGATGTAGATATAGATGTAGATGTAGATGTAAATGTAGATGTAGATGTAGATGTAGATGTAGATGTAGATGTAGATGTAGATGTAGATGTAGATGTAGATGTAGATGTAGATGTAGATGTATATGTAGTTGTAGATGTAGATGTAGATGTAGATGTAGATGTAGATGTAGATGTAGATGTAGATGTAGATGTAGATGTAGATGTAGATGTAGATGTAGATGTAGATGTAGATGTAGATGTAGATGTAGATGTAGATGTAGATGTAGATGTAGATGTAGATGTAGATGTAGATGTAGATGTAGATGTAGATGTAGATGTAGATGTAGATGTAGATGTAGATGTAGATGTAGATGTAGATGTAGATGTAGATGTAGATGTAGAGTAGATGTAGATGTAGATGTAGATGTAGATGGTCATGTAGATGTAGATGTAGATGTAGATGTAGATGTAGATGTAGATGTAGATGTAGATGTAGATGTAGATGTAGATGTAGATGTAGATGTAGATGTAGAGGTAGAGGTAGAGGTAGAGGTAGAGGTAGAGGTAGAGGTAGAGGTAGATGTAGATGTAGATGTAGATGTAGATGTAGATGTAGATGTAGATGTAGATGTAGATGTAGATGTAGATGTAGATGTGGATGTGGATGTGGATGTAGATCTAGATCTAGATCTAGATCTAGATGTAGGATGTAGGATGTAGAATGTGGGATGTAGGATGTAGGATGTAGGATGTAGGATGTAGGATGTAGGATGTAGGATGTAGGATGTAGGATGTAGGATGTAGGAGTAGATGTAGATGTAGATGTAGATGTAGATGTAGATGTAGATGTAGATGTAGATGTAGATGTAGATGTAGATGTAGATGTAGATGTATATGTAGGTGTAGATGGATATGTAGATGTAGATGTAAATGTAGATGTAGATGTAGATGTAGATGTAGATGTAGATGTAGATGTAGATGTAGATGTAGATGTAGATGTAGATGTAGATGTAGATGTAGATGTAGATGTAGGTGTAGGTGTAGGTGTAGGTGTAGATGTAGATGTAGACGTAGACGTAGATGTAGATGTAGATGTAGATGTAGGTGTAGATGTAGACGTAGATGTAGATGTAGATGTAGATGTAGATGTAGATGTAGATGTAGATGTAGATGTAGATGTAGATGTAGATGTAGATGTAGATGTAGATGTAGATGTAGATGTAGATGTAGATGTAGATGTAGATGTAGATGTAGATGTAGACGTAGATGTAGATGCAGAAGCAGATGTAGATGTAGATGTAGATGTAGATGTAGATGTAGATGTAGATGTAGATGTAGATGTAGATGTATATTTAGATGGATATGTAGATGGAGACGGAGATGTCGATGTAGATGTAGATGTAGGTGTAGATGTAGATCGATATGTAGATGTAGATGTAAATGTAGAGTAGGTGTAGGTGTAGGTGTAGGTGTAGATGTAGATGTAGACGTAGACGTAGATGTAGATGTAGATGTAGATGTAGGTGTAGATGTAGACGTAGATGTAGATGTAGATGTAGATGTAGATGTAGATGTAGATGTAGATGTAGATGTAGATGTAGATGTAGATGTAGATGTAGATGTAGATGTAGATGTAGATGTAGATGTAGATGTAGATGTAGATGTAGATGTAGATGTAGACGTAGATGTAGATGCAGAAGCAGATGTAGATGTAGATGTAGATGTAGATGTAGATGTAGATGTAGATGTAGATGTAGATGTAGATGTATATTTAGATGGATATGTAGATGGAGACGGAGATGTCGATGTAGATGTAGATGTAGGTGTAGATGTAGATCGATATGTAGATGTAGATGTGAGTCCCGCCGTTGATGATGATGTAGATGTAGATGCAGGTGTAGATGTTAATGTAGTTGTCGCTGTAGATGTATATGTTGTTTTCTTAGATGCTCCAACTCCTACGTAGGGTCGCACTGGGATAATTCTTTAAAAAATGCGGAATTTATGTTTCCGGCGCCCGGGAGACCTCCCGGGCCGATTCCGACGCCCGGGCCGGCGCCCGAGCCGGCGCCCGGGCCGGACGCCCGAGCCGGCGCCCGCGCCAGCGCCCGGGCCGGCTCCGGAGCTGGTTCCGGCCGGCGCCTGAAAATCGAGCTCCGAGGCGGCGCCGAAAAAAACCATTCCAATACACATTTTTCTTCTGAAAATGCTGAATTTCTGCTTCTGGCGCCCGGGAAGCCTCCCGGGCCGATTCCAGCGTGCTTCCGCTCGTTCCGAATCGTGTTCCCGCTGCAGCGCTGGCCTCATTTCCGCGTTTCCGCTCGTTTCGACTCGCGTTCCCGCTGCAGCGCTGGCGTCATTTCCCGTGCCATGCCACGGCATGCAATGCAATGCTAGGTTGATACTACGCTTCGCGGTGTTCTTCTACGCCATGCCACGCCGTGCTCTACAATGCCTCGCATACCCTGTCGGGATCATTGCCCCGCTCAACATCCCACTGTGCGAGTAGAGAGGGGATCTGCGCCATGGTAAAGGATGGGAGGGAGGGGTAGGATGTCAGATATGACGCGAGCGCACCTTGCTTGCCCTCCCTCCCCTCCTCCTCGTCCGTTTGCCCCCTCTCCTCCTCTTCCTCCTCCCCCTCCCCAAGAGGCCCCAAGATGGCGCCAAAATGGCATTGCGAGTTTTCGAAGAACCCTTCACCACAACATATCCCCAAAGCCCCAATTCTCGCCATCCTTGTCATCGTCCGTTCATTCCTTGCTTCTTTCCTGCCGCCTCCCTGCTCCTCTTCATCCTCCTCGCGCCGCGTTCCTCCTG